TCTGGTCTTTTTTGAATTGCCATACGCAATTCAATTTCACCATGATTGCCACCTTCATAATGTGAAAAATGTAGGAAAAGCTGAAGAAGGGTTTAAAAATCCATTTCATCACTTGCGAGGGTTATAGTATTCTGCCTTTACTTAAAACGTTTTGTACTGGGGTTGCAAGGCTGGCCAATTGGTGCGCTGAAATAATCCAAGTACAAATATCTTTTATGCTGAGAGATTCGTGTAATGAATTGAATCAGTTAATGTATCACCCTATGTATAGTTCCTCTATTTGCAGCTTGAGTGCTCCTCAGCTCTAAATATCACTTGTTTGTAGAGAGTGAAAGAATTTATTATCCATTGATAGTTCTCTTCCCTGTTTTGCCGCTGTCTTTCCCTTTTAACCAGGAACAAAACCAGCCTGACGTTATTTGGGATAAACTGCTACTAAAGTTCAATAGACAAGACAAGAGAAGTGCATTTATGGAAAACATTTCCTATAGGGCTTGTCATTGTTCTCTTTCAGCTGTGTCCCCACAAATTTAAATACGTCAGTTATGTCATCATTTAAAGATTGTGTTTGTGAAAAACAACAGTTCTAGTTATGACTGCATTTTCACTTGTTATCACTTTGCTTCTTTTTTTAAATAGAGGGGAAAAAATGTTTCTAGTACCACAAATACTAATGAAATTTCAAAAATGAGTAAGTGTGTTTTATGTAGGCCTCATTTTGGGTCACTAGGAGTCAGAATTGACTGGATGGCAATGAGTTTGGTTTGTTTTTTGGTAATCATAGAGAAAATACAGTTTTTATACTGCTTTTCAGTGTTGTGTGGTTTTAATTATTTTTAGTTATTGTATAATATTCCATTAAGTGATATGCTTCCACTCTTCCCACTGTAATAAGTAATACTGCAGTGAACATCTTTGTGCATGTAATTTTCCCCCCCATGTATTTGGAATCTTTTTAGGATAAAGTCTTAGAAATAGGATTACTTTGTGTTTACTTCAGAAGTAGGCGCTAATATAAAAAAAGGTGATTTTAGCTTCTTATTTGGCTTTCTTAGAGAGTATTATCTGTGCTATTGTAATCAGCACAGGGGATGGAAAGAGATGTTAAACTGTAAGGAACTACCACAGTTCATGAATCCTTGAGTCCTGACTTATGCTAATTATTAGGCTAATTAATATCTTTATATGGATACATAGTAAAACCTGTGAAAGCTGGAACCTGTGTAAGATGGAAACTTGCCAGAGAAGGAAAACTCAGTTATTTTCCACTATTAGAAAGCAATAGAAAAGTGGTCAGACTGCACCTGTGAGACTGTGAGACCTGGAAAAACAAGACAGTCTTGTTGAGTTCTGGCTCTCACAGGCTTCACTGTCTTTTATTCTCTCCCAATTCACACACCTGCTGTGTGGGCATTCTCACTACCACATGTACCTGAAGTGCATGGTGGCATGTCACATTTCACAGCATGGCTGTATGGTCTGTATTTTCCCACATGGAAGATGGAAATAAATTGGCTAATATAATTTGATTCTCTATAATTATTCTTTTATTAAATATTGGAGTCTTGTTCAAAGCCAGATTTGATTAGCAAAGAATATTTTGCCTTTCATTAGACTTTCCTGAATAATTATTGTTGTATTAGCTTCGAAGCACATATGATTAAAAAAAAGGCTGCCAGTTACTTTAAAGTTCCCTCCCTTAACTGGAGTGATGTTAAAGTTATCATCCAAGTGCAGTGAGTGACCCTGTTGATTAAGAATGGCAGGGAGCTTCCTTTTCCTTAAATAGCTTTCTCTTTTTTAAAGAGAAAAATATTAATTGTGTAGTGTCATTTTGGTCTTTTATCTTGCTCAAGAGCAGTTACTGAGAACAGTGGTTTTATAAGAGGATCTGAGACAAATCATTTAATATTTGTAAGTACCAGAATAGATCCTCCGTAGCTGACTTACTAAAACCCAAAGGTATAATGTCTTTATAAAATGACTTTAGGCTCTGACCTTCAAACTTTAGAATTCAGAAAACGGCAGCATAGTGAACAGGTCTTGGTTTTCATAAGGGGCCATTGAGAATGGATAATGCTGAGTAGTCTAATGGATTTCTGAAAGCCTAATGTGCTTTATCTATTGCTAAATCAATAAATACAACAGCCACTTAAGTGTGTGTATTACGTAATATTTAGTTAATTATGTTATAACACAAATCTTTTCAGAATATTTGTCTTTTAAGTGGAATGCTAAAAATATATAACTCAAGTGCTTATAAAAATAGAATATTTAGAAAAATGCAGAGTGTTATCTTTCTTGGCTAATCTTAACGTTTGCATTTAGCTACAGATTCTTTTATATGCATAATTTTATGAACCATGAAATATGATTTCAGGAGCACTTATGTTTGAGATTGATAATAAAAACAAATAGCTGCGTTTAATGTTACTGAATTGTTCTTCGATTCTTGAGTCCAATAAAAACCTATGTTGAATTTTTGAGTAGTTGTTTCATGATCAGTGTACTAGAGGTAAAAAGGTAGGTGGACCACATGTATTTTATATCAAAGAGTTCTATTTGGTGGAAGACACAAAAGCCAATAGTATAAAAAAAATAAATGCAAAATTTCATTTATGTTTGGACGTTCATAACTGGGAAGATGATCATTAAAATATTTTGTGATTTTTCACATCATTGAAAAATACCTCAATAATCTTTGGTCTTTGATAGTAATGGTGGAGGCTGGTTACTACTAACCGCCTCCCCCAAGTAGCTCCTAAAAAAAAAGACAGTCTAGCTACCTTGGGTATGATTACAGCTTCTAGGCAGATGAAATTGACCATTTTTAAAGGAACTTGAGTTATTTTATCTATTGCCATCTGAAAAATAATCAGAATTTGTGTTTGGTGAATCGAGATAAGAGTAGAGAAATACAGTTCTTTATGACTTGATGGTGAAGGACATTTAAAGAACCATTATTTGTTTGATCCTACTGTTGTAATAAAAATTAGGTAAAAATATCCCTATTTCTTATTTTAATAATATGATTTTCAAGAAAACTTCAGGAGCTCTGGTTGCGTAGTACCTAAGGCATTTGACTGCTAACCAGAAGGTGGGC